AGAGGGAGAGATGAACCATGAGAGACTATGGACCCTGAGAAACAAACAGGGTTTTAGAGGGGAGGGGGTTGGGGGGAATGGGTTAGCCCAGTGATGGGTATTAAGGAGGGCACATACTGCATGGAGCACTGGGTGTTATACGAAAACAATGAATCGTGGATCACCACATCAAAAACTAATGTATGGTGACTAACATAATAAAAAAAAAAAAAGTGTTCTAAGGTCCTTGTGTTATTTGGGAGGGGAGATTAAGATACTAACTTTAGTTTTTGATAATTTTGCAGGGTAACATTTCAAGGATAACTATTAAAACAAGAGAAGTAGAATGTATCACCTCCAAAACATTGAATTGAAGAATCTCACAGTACTGAATGTTCAAATGAATGTTTATTTTACTTGGAAGCTGTGGATGATTCAGTTCAGGCTGTAGAGAGATCATCACCTTTGTTCACCTCTGAATCTGAATCTTTTTCCTTTGGTACTTCTACATGGATTGTGTCTGCATGAAAGAAAGATAGATATGTAAATCTTTTATCATTTCTACATATTTTTCTTTGTGGTTCTAAAATAAATTACAAATATTTTTACATAAAACTCTGGTCAATCTTATTATCTAATACCCAAAGCTTTGTCAGGCCTCCTAAAACAAGCATTCAGGAACCCGAGGGCCCAATACATCACCTAAAGACTCAAGGAAGAAACCTTGTAAAGACTTCTAGAAAATAATACTCTGAAGCCATGACACGGTCTGCCATATGCTTCAGCTACATTCATCCACATTTTCACTTCCTGCATCCACTTCTCTGCCCACACTGTTTTCTCTGTGTATAATGCAAAACTTCTATTATCTATACATCTACTGATTGAAATCCTCCCTATCATGTGATACCCCTTACCCTGGAACCTTCCATCCCTGATCTAATCATTCCCTCCTTTGATCTCTCATGGTGCTTTGTGCTTTCCTCTCTGTTTATATGTTTATCTGGCCACCTATTTTTAAATCTTAGCAATCAACTTAGGTATCATTTCTCTGGAAAGTTGTTCCTGAAATCTCCAGGCTGAGTTATCCACCTCTCCAGCACCGATGACAGTTAGGTTTGTTGAATGAATGACTAAAACTGAATAGGTATCAGAACCCAGTTGAGGTTTAACAACACAAGTTTGTAGAGGACCAGGTCTGCACAGTTCTGTGTCTTTTTATAATGCTGAAAATGTTAGAATTAGTTTTTCTTCTATGAGAGACCAACAGTACACAAAAGATGTATAGAGTGTAAGACTCTTCTAACACTGGTCCTGCCTCCAGTGATTATACATCTCTGCCAAGGCCCTAAGCAACAGAAGTTCAAACATACGTTTTTTCTTGTGGATGGAGCAAGAGTTGCTGGTGCTTAAGCCTGGTTGCGTATGAATCATAGGTTGAGGTGCCATCAGGGAAGGAGCTCCCATTGGAGTTTGAACCTATGAATTCAAATGGAAAAGAAAACAAAAAGTGAAAACTTAATTACTATTTCTCCTAATATAATAGTGCCAAGAGGACAGGCAGCCCCCCACGGTAAATATTACATTTGATGAATGTCAACTGAAAGGAATGCTAAATGCTAGAGAGAAAAATAGATCTGTGAAGGAGCTGCTTGTAATAAAGTGTGAAGGAAAAAGACCTAAAGAATAGTTCTTGAGGGGCGCCTGGGTGGCTCAGTCAGTTAAGCATCTGCCTTCGGCTCAGGTCATGATCCCAGGGTCCTGGGATCGAGCCCCGCATCAGGCTCCCTGCTC